ATTGGGACTGGCAGGGACACCTCATAAACACTCTCATCACCTGGTAGTTCTTTCCTCGCACTTTCTTCCACTTCCAATACACCTTCAGCTTTTCCAGTATGTGTGTCTGTTTGCTCTACCTCTCCAGTTTTAGGGAGCACAATCTCCCGTCTTCCCACAAAGCTGCTCTCAATTGGTTCCTCATTTAGCAAATAAACCTCTCTTCCACCTCCTACTTCTAATTCCAGTTTCTTCACTTCCCGAAAGCCCTCTGTCGTGATTTCTGCTCTCTCGCTACTTTCTAAAATATCCATCAATATGGGGCTTTCACTGTTCACAACACCTGGCCTGGTTTCAGATGTCCTCTTTAGATCTCTAGCACTTTCTCTTCCATCTACTGCTGTAGGTCCGGACCCTTCTTCTGTCTCAGCGATCACTTCCTTTGTTTCTCTGACTTCACTACTAGGACGTTCTGGCATCAATAATTCTCCACGATTTTTGTCCTGGATTGTAGAAGGTATTAACTCTCTTCCAAATTCGGCATCACTTTCACCCTTTGTGGTAGCCTGTTGAGTAGAAAGCTGCTCTTGCTCCTCCACAAGCAGCACATTTTCTCCATCCTCCAAAAAGAGGCTTCCCGGTTCTGCCACTACCTCCCCGTTCTCCAAAGCCATTCTGGGTGGCAGATCCTTTTCACTTTGTCCTTTTGAAAGAGCAAATTCAACCTCAAGCTGCTGCAAAGCCAAACCATTGTAAGAATCTCTTTCAAGAACTGCACTCTCCTCTGCCTCCTCAAAGCCTTCGCTCCCCTCCAACATATGGGCACTGGATCCATTTTTCTGGGTTTGCATGAGAGGTTTAGCGAGATTATTCAACTCTTCATCCACTAAGAGCAGCTTCTGGCCATCGTGGATGTTGATATAGCTGTGGGTCATCAAGTGGAACATCAGTCTTTCATTATCACTCCTTAGCTCTTCCTGACCCGTGGGACTCCTGGAACTCTGGCTCTGTTTGCTTTTGCCAGCGAGCTGCACACTGGGCATGACATCAGGTATGACTGTAGACTTCAGCTTCTTGGCCATCTCTCTCTCCAGGATGTCATATTCAACCGCTTTCTTCCAGGACAACACTTCAGTGGTTTCGGGGATAAAGACAGCCTTGATGAATTGCCTCTTGTTGAGCATCTTGGAAACTAACTCTGTAGACAGGATTCCTTGCTCTAAGGCATCAGCAACACGGACAATCTCCCCAGTTTCCGGCCACAGGAGCCCCATGAAAGACCAAAGGGATTCTAGGACCACCAATGCAATCCTTGGTCCTACCAACTCTTTCCTCACGGCTTCATCAATGGTGACTCTCTCTCCCGTGACTGTATCAATGATGCCACCTGTTTGAAGCTGCCGGCTGAGCAGCGCACATGCCATATCCTGGTCAATCAAATTATGTCTCATGGCTTCATCCACCGTCAGCCTGTGCCCTGACCTGGGGTCAACAATGCCACCAGCAAAGAGCTGCGCTTCCAGCAACCTCACGGTGACCTGCCTGTCTATCAGCCCTTCCTGCACGGCACGGAAGATGCTGACTTTCCTGCCCCATTTCAAGCTCACCATCCCACCCGCCAGCTGCTTGACTGGGAGCAGTTTCAGCCCAGTCTCTTCCTGGATGATGCATCGATGCATGAGTTCAGGTAGACTGATTTTCTCAGCAGTGTTGGGGTCAATCAAATTCTTTCCACCCTCCAGGTGAGACAGCAGCTTGGAACGCAGCTGGGGAGTGAGGAGCTTTTCTTGCACGGCTGTCTCCATGCTGACCCTGCTGTGACATGCTTTAAGGCCCCCAGTGACGAGGTCAACCTCCAGAATCTTTAAGCCGATGGTCTCGCTGATCCTCCCCTCTTCTACTGCAGCTATGACAGGGAGGAGCTGTGTGCCTTCACGTCTGACTTCATCCACCTGGTGAAGGGCATCCTTCAACTCCTGCAGCACCTGGAATGTCCTGAGATCGATGATGTTTCTTGCCAGACTTTCCTCCAAGGAGACTTTCTCGTTGGTCTCTGGAACAACTAAGTCAGATGTGATAACCTGGGCCTCTAAGAGGGCAAGGCCAGTGTCCTGGTCTATAAGACCTTTCTGCATGGCACCAAAGACAGGGAATATTTCCACTGTACCGAGATCGATCACTCCAGCCACTGCTTCGCTGCCCTAAAACAGAAAGAGAAGGAAAAAAAGGCCAATCAGAATTCAGCATTCCTAGCAAGCAGACTGCACGAGGTCCAGGCACGTCTCCTTTTCCAAAATAAATTAAAAGAACAAACCCCCAAACGAGCTAGGAAGTGAGTCCCAAAGTGTTTGCAATGCACCTCCAAAGGCATCACAGACCAGAGCCTTTGCCAGCTTGCACATGGTCAGAAGTTTGAACGCTCATCTAGTCCCTCACCCAGGGCAGCACCGAGACACTTCCAACATCCACCAGCAGCAACGCAGCAAAGCGGCAAGCAGCAAAATCCAAAGTGCTCCTAATGCACCATGGAGAGGCACAGAAAAGGAGACCGACAGCCCACCAAAGCTGCTCAGCAACTCCATTTCCAGAGAAAACATAGACTAAACAAATCCCACTTTAGTCTATGTCCCACCAAATCCCCACTAACAGAGGAAGAAAGCAAAGAATTCCACAGAAAGAACCTTCTCCTGACTCATGCCGTGCTCAACCACTGCACTTCCCGAGGCAGACCTTGAGTGCCAGAAACCTGGGAACAAAACAGCTCCCATGCCATGGAGGAGCTCCCAGCAACCACATTCCATCCATGCATTAGGACATGGGAGCTGCCTCGGACACACAGCCAGTTCTCTGGCAACCTCTTTGCCCTGCTCCAGCACCTATGAGGAGCCATGCTCTTTAGATAAGGCAAGTGAAGGAATATTAAGGAGTTGTCGGTCCCAGAAGGCAGACGACAACAGCCTGGGAACAGACCACAACTCAGTACTGCTGTAGGGGCTTCTCTCTTCCCAGTATCTGCACAGGAGGGTCATAATTAAAATAACAACGAAATGGTAACAGCACATCTGGCATGTGGACTTCTCCTATCCCCACTTCTTGGGCACAAAGTGGGTCCAAGCGCTACAGGACTTCCATGGGCATAAGGAGAAAGGAATCTGGACTGTAGAATTAATTCATTTTAGCACCTCAAGCCACTCAGACTTCTTTAACAGTGAGTCCAACAGGATGGTCACGGGTGCTTGGTAGGGCCCGTGCAGCTCAAAAATGGCACTCAAGAATGCAGCCTCCAGTGCCCAGCTTTGCAATTCCCCCAAATGCATCAATCCTGCCCAAACAGGGCGAGCCTGATGGAAAACCAGCTCCCCAGCATCACTGCCAGACTTGGACATGCATGTTCTGATATGAACAAGCTGTAGAAAGACAGAGAAGAGGAGGCAAGAAGAAAGAGAGGGGAAAAAAAGAGATAGGAGGGGATGGGGGTAAAAGGCTTTTACTTACCAGAGTTGCAGCGTGTGCCTTGAGCAGTTAAAGACAGAGCCTTACGGAGCAGTTCAGCCGTATCACACACAGTGTAAAGCTTGGTGTTAGCGTCCAGCATGCGACTGCTTTGTTTGCAAAAAGAGCCCCACACACAGGTCGTCCTCGTTTCCCTTTTGTGTGTTTTTGTTTGTTTAACTCCCGGAGGGTTAGTTAAAACTTGTAAGCAAGGATGTCAGTTAATCTTAAAAAACAGTTGACATGAAACACAAACCGTACAGGGACACATCATGCTCAATTTAGCGCGTTCTGCTTTGCACTTTTGGGCTTTTCAGTCTGTAACCTCTCTCTAACAGTTGGATGTTTCCAGCAAGCAAATGTTAAGAGTTCCTCAGGCTCCCTCTACAATGAAGCAGCTGGACCCTCAGCAGCCACGAGGAGGGTCTCCTGCCCCAGGACTCCCTCTGCTTCCTACTTGGCCTGGGCTTCGTGGAGAAGGTGAGTGAAAATTGGCCCCTGTTCTAAGGTGGGCCTCCAAACACCCTTATGCTGCACAAAGGCAAGCCCAGCCCCGGAGAAAGCTTTTGTATGACAGTTATTTTTCCTGCCCAGGAGGGAGGAAGAGGGAAAGGAAAAAGCAATGTGCTATTAAATCCAATTCTAAGAGCCACTGTATTCTTAAGTGAAAGCTAGACATGCAGATTTCAAATAAATGTCATCCTCTCCCCTTGGTTTGGTAGAACAGTGCTTCACTCACTGACACGCCATCGAAATCGGCGTCACACGTTCCCATGAGGAGGCCATTGCTTCAGAGTACAGGGAGCCAGCAAGCAAACACACAAATATATCCATTGACACATGTATATACACTTATATAACACATACACATATATCCGTGAATGACTGAAGACAGCTAGCATCAATAACAGAGGCAATAAGGATGCAATTTGGGTCCTTCCTACCCAACACATGAGTGGAACAAGAGATGGAGATTGACAGGAGTGCTGTTGGATGCAAATGGGGACAGCTGGGGGTCCAGCACTACCCAGTGAAGATCCCCCAGGTGAGCAGAGGGCCTGTTGAATACTGCAGTTGCCTTCCAGCTGCAGAGCAACTTAGTTCAGTTGCATCTTGACTCTCCCACCAGACCACTGCCCCTAACATGTGCAAGGGTTAAAGAGCTTGCCCAGGCCAAGAGCCTTCTGCAGAGGAATCTTCTGCCACATGCAGACCTGTGCGATCGAGCTCGATGCTCGAAAAAGTATTATGTGAAAGAGACTGATGTGCCAAGGGAACAACTTGCAGGACAGAAGCCCACTTACACCTTTACCCTTGATAAGACCAAGCCGACTCTTCTGCACAGGGCCCGGCTCTGATGAACACCATTGCAAAGGAGACTCAGCCCCCGCAACGTGATGCATGGGAAGGAGGGCAATCACGTGCAATTAGGAAAGGCAACTGGCCATGAGACACTCCCAAACAAAGCCTCTTTCACCTCCAGGGTAACCTGTGGCCGAGATGCTCCCCGTGTGCACGGGGAACGGTACCTTGTGCTCCGTCTCCTGAGCCAGCTGGCTCTGCAGTTGCTGGAGGTGCTCACTGGAATCGTTGCAGAGCCCCTCGTAGGTCTCCTTCAGAGCACCAATCTGAGCAGAAACCTGTTCCTTCTCCTGATGGGAAAGCCTGCAAGGTGAAGGGGAAATGTCTTAGGGAAACTATACGAAACACCTCCCAGCTGCACAGTTTTAGCATGTTGTTCTCACAAAGGAAAAAGAACACAATGAGTTCGTCCTTTCTGTAGCTCTGCTCTGCACCCAGCTCAGCTCCAAACCGTAAGGTTAATTGTGCTCAGCAAAGGCTGATTTGCATTATAACAATCAAATCCATAAACATGAGGGGTTGGACCACTGCTGCAGTGGGTTAAATTTGGCACAACAGGATAAACAGGGTGCATATTTCTTATCTCCTATTGCAGAGGAGGAAAACAGCCCCTTTCATGTGCAGCTATTATCAATGGTAGTCAGGCTGGATTTTCAGGACACCAGTCCACCAGCACCTCACTCAAGGCAGCTCTCCTGTGCCATACTCACTTGTGGCTGTGTTTCGCCAGAAAAATTTGGGAAGTTTTGATGGCCTCGGAGACCTGTTCCTTCTTTGCAGCCAGCTCTTCGTTTAGAGCCTGTTAAGAACAAGAAAGAAGAATTCAGCAAGAATTCTTCAACAAAAATTCAGCTGCAGAAAAAGAAGAGAAATTAAAGAAACTGGTACCATGCACAAATCAGAGCTGGACAGAGCAGGTCCTTGACTTACCTGCTGCTCCAAGATGGATTTCTCAATGTCTACCAGCTCCCTGCTCGGGGCAGCAGCAGTCTTGCCTTGCACACTCTGCCTCAAGCCAGAGGCCCAGCCCAGCAGTTCCTTCACCTTGTCCACATGTTCCTGCTTCTCTTCCTCCACTGCTTTCTGTAAACAGAGGAGGGAGGGAGATACCTGTGTCAGATGGGGCCAGAATTTCCAAAGGCTGCTGGGCGCAGGACCTGAAACATGCTCGAAATGTCACACCCAAAAAGCGGGAGGGCAGGTGTTAATGGTGGAGCTTCTTTGGGACACACTGGGAAATGAATGTGGACATTTTGAATAGAGTTTCATTCTGCCTAAGGCTCATACCTCCTCTTCCTCCAAGCGCCGGAGCGCATCACTGATGTACTTCACGTGCTGCGTTGTCAGTGTGACCAGAGCCGTATATTGAGTCCGCAGATCCATGAACTGTGAGAGGAAAGAGAGGCAAACATAGTGCATCACCTCAAACCAGCCATCCCGGAGCTACATATTTCACAGTATAGGACACGGCTACATCATCTCTCACTTGGAAAGCTCCCCAGGCACCTGGCAGAGCCTGCAGAGCATCAATGAGAGGCAGCGAGGAGGAGGGTGGTGGCCACACACGGCATGCTGCACGACACTGGAGCGGAAGGGAACTCCGGTCATGGACACCGGGGCGGGTGCTCAACTCTTACAGAAAAGGGCCACTGGGGTCTTTCATATCCACACGGAGCAGACAGGACCTCAGTCTCTAAAGGTCTCATCTCCAAGACGCACACTCAGGAAATGCTGCGTGGCGCTCTGTGTATTTACCTGGGGAGGCTGATGGGCCGAGCCGACCCCGCTAGGATTGACCCAGGGATTCCCAGGAATCCAGGTATTTCCTACCTGGTGCTCAGAGCACTAAGCCATCCTCTCTGGCTATTGGAAAAAACAGCGAGGGTGGAAACTTTATATAAAAGCATTTAGCAGAAAGGAGCTCATTTCACAGAGCAGCCGCTCATCGCTTAGCTCAGAGAGAAGGATCCCCTCAAATTCCTTCCCTACAAGGGCGGGGGGCAAAGGCCTCCTACCTCCTGCGTGATGACATCCGAGGAGGAAGGCATGCGCCGGCGTTTCATGGGAGACTTCTGCTGTGATTCAACAAACGCCCTGTATGTCATGAGCTGCAACTCATAGTCCTGCAAACGAAGCCAAGGTAGGTTGTTATTTCATTAATGTTGCTGCTCTTGGCTCTCCAGCTCAGGCTGGTTCTCTGCATGCAGGGCCAGGAAAGCTAAGTGAATACGGGATAGGAGCCGCCCTGGGGCTGTTTATGCCTGGCCAGGGTTACCCTGGGGTGAGGAAGTGGACCCTACCTTGACAGCAGCCGAGTACTGCTGAGAGAATTTCTGACACTGGTCCAGTTTGGCTTGATTTTTCTCAATTTCCGCAGCCAAAGCCTTCAACAAAATTCAAAACAAAAACAGTCATCAGGATGGCTGCCATGGGTCCAGTGGGCTGAAATATCCATTCCCCAAGTTATAGCTTCAAATGCAATCCACCCTTCGCAGCCCAACGGGCTCACAGGAGTTCCTGCAGCACCACAAGTACCTGAGCAGCTGCTGATGGCTGCAGATTTGGGCTGCTACTCTCCTTGGCTGCCAACAGCAGGCAAGTGGCTGGGTACAACCCTGCTCTTCCCCAAGGCACTGCAGGCCTTAAAGCATTGATGTGTTCAAGCTCACGGAGATCTTAGCGTAAGAAAAGAGGCGACGTGTTTGCTGCAGTGGTGGCCTGGATGTCCCAAGGTCCTGACTTACCGTTTGCTTGCTCAGCTGCTCTGACAGCACCTTGCTGTCTTCTGCTTGCCCTGGYTGCATAAGTTCCTGCTGGATGGTGATCTCCTCAATCCACTGCATCAGGGTGCTGCGGCACTTGCGGTAGTCACCGAGCACTTCCTGGATGTTTTCCAGCTCCGTACAGCTGAAAGAACCATGATAAATAAAAGGAGAGTCAGCCATAAGCTATCAGAATATGGTAACCATCAGTGGGTAGCACATCTGGAAAAACATCACTGCTGACAAGCCTTAAGTAAAGCGTGGAAGCAAATCTGTGGAAGGAGGAAGGGAATATCTCACCGGTTCTCAATCTGCACGGAGATTCTCTGCCAGCGATATCGGAGCTGGTTCACCTTCTCCTGATAGCGCTCGAGGTCAATGTTGCGCTCCTGTCTCAGGCGCTGCTGCAGCTTCTCTGTCACCACCTCAGCCTTTCCTAAGTCGTCTTCCAAGGAGGAGAACATGTGGCTCTTGTCCTTCACTTCACCCAGCCATTGCTTCAACAAACAGCAAAGGACACAGTTTAGCTATGGAAGCAGCATGCACAGCTTCACCTTAAGGCTGTAATTAAAGCCAGAGATTCCCTCCCTCCTACAACTTAAAAACCTCAAAGGAGACTTTACTCCCTTTTTTCCTAACCTGCAAAGAACTGCATAATAATAATCTTAGGAGATGCAAAGTGAAATGGATCTGTGTTCCCAGCTGAGAGCAAAACAGTTTGGCCCATTCCCTGTCCCAGAACACAGAACACAAAGCTGCTGAGACGCTCATATGTATTTGTGCCATATATAGCTGCCCAACAAAAGAAAGTACAAGGCCCCAGAGAAAGTTAAGGAGGTGCCAAGTACAAAGGCAGCTCCTTTATCATGCCCAAAGCAATAAGGGGTTAGAGCAGGACCACCAAACCTCCTGGCAGGGAGCTAGGGCAAGAAAAACAGAATACAATGCAAGTTCAGGAGAAAAGGGGAGCTCCCTATTTCACCAGCCTAAAACTCAGCTGTTTTCTCCGCTGCATTCTTAGGAAAGCGAAAAGTGCCAACCTGTAATGTCGATCTGTGAGACTGAAGAGTCATCAGGTCAGCTGGGACTGCCTCCTCCTGGCTCAGCTTAACTTCATAGTCTTTGACTAGAGACTCTGCTCCTTGGGTATTGCGAATAATAGCATCAAGCGTCTTTAACCTGGCAAATCACAGACAGACAGCACAATGACTTCAGTGCTGGGGAGAGATGCTCTTCTCTTGACTGTCAAACTGTTTGCCCCAAATGCTACAGATGGATGAATCCCAGTTACAATCCTGTCCAAGCTGTTCTGTTTGAGCACCAGAAAAATAAGAAGTCTTAACAGAATCGGGATGTTTGGGGAAGCGCATGCAAATGCAAAATCCTCTAGCAAAGACTGAAGGGATAAAAGGAACCACATACAGACTCAGGCTGGAAATCCTAGAAAAACCTCTCCTCTTAGCATAAAGACACTTTGGTGCCTAAAACCCTCTGCCCTCACCCTTGCTGCCTCAATATTGCCACCTGTAAAGTGGAAGCTGTTTTTTAACAAAGCATTCTGTAAAGAAGAAGTAGCTGCACACACGCCACGAGACAGACACAGGAAGATATTTAGGACTCACTTCTCCTGGTAGATGGCAGAGCGTGCATCTATCTGGTCCACCGTACTGAACAGCAAATCAAGCTCCGAGCGCAAATGTGGGGTGCTGGGCCCCGCTGGTGCTTTCTTGAAGAAATGGTAGCATCTCTCAGAAATGCTCTGCACATTACCTTTCAGCTGATGGAGACCATCCTGCATGTGCTATAGGGGAAAGAGAGAGGACATCACAGGAGCGTCCCAGCAGAGGCACCCAAAGCCCTGCGCTGTCACACATCCACTGTCCACGTCCTGCATTCTCTTTTGCCAGAGAGGAACAGGAGGCACAATTTACCCTAGAGAAGTCACTTTAGGCACATGCAAAAACCCAGCAGCCACCACCTTCCTCCCCTACTAGGAGGACTCCTCTTCCTCACAGCTAGAACTGACCTCATACTTTGAAATGCGGATAGTGCTTTCCAGGAGAACGTCACCATCTGGCCAGGCGCTGCCTGGAGACTGGATTAGCTCCAACAGACTCTTCTCCCACTCCTCCAGGCCCAGAYGGATGTTCTTGACCTCGGAGAGATAGGTCCTGGCAACAGTCTCGTCCTTGTCCTCTGTTGAGCCACAGACAAACCAAACGTGGACCCGGGGCCCCAGCGAGTGCCCGCCGCAGCGGGGAGCCCCAGCAGCCTCGGCGCCGGGCGCAGCCCCCCACTAACAGCGACACACCCGGAGGCCTCTGCTCAACGGGAAACAAGTTAATCACATCACCCTTTCTGCATGCAATTAGCAGCAACCCAGCCACACAACACCCCGTGTGACAGAGCCTCCTGCCTTACACACGGCTGTGTCACACACGGCTCTGAGCAGTGGGACAGCGCTGGCCATGTACGGCTCGTTAAGAAGCTAAACCCAGGAGAAATGCCTTGCGCAGAACGCACTTGACTGATGACTAACGCATCTCTGGCTGTGTGAGGCTATGAGGGCTCAGCAGTTAACCTGGAGCACCAAAGGCAAGTCCTCTCTATGGGTGCACTGCTAGACAAAGACTGACTACTTGTAGGGATGGAGGAGGAAGGAAAGCAGCTGCTCACATTATCGATTAGTTGGCTCAAAAAGAAGAGAAAATGAAGCCATCGCACAGACTCTATTTTTTCTTAGTCTCTGCTGTTCCTGGTTAATCCATCAAGCCTTTGAAGCTCACCTTTCTCAAGAGATTCAAGCAGCTGCTGCATGTATTCTTTGGAAGACTCGACTTCCTCTTCCAAACTCAGCTGGTCGGACACGCAGAACATCTGGGAGTCGCGGCAGTCCTGCTGGAAGTCCTCGTGGTGCGCCTGGAGGCTCTTCATGACACGCTGACAATCCTCTTCACTCAAGGATCTCAGCTGCAAGTGAAAAAGCAGCACATTTCACAGCTTGCAATGACTTCCTATACACAATCTGAAGCTGCTCTCCCCACGCTTAATGTCCTCCATTTGCCAAGTGGATATTGGCTCTCCAGAGGCAAAAAGGCAGTTCCTTCCCCGTTAGCCTCATGCCTCTCTCCAGCCTTGCTCCCTCCCCAGTGAAATGCTACATTAAGTCCACACTCTCTAATGGTTATAACAGCTCAGCAGCAAACTGCTGTTACTCAGTATATTAGAAAAAAGATGCAACATTTTTGGTTATTCCACTGCTCAGAGTCCATTTTCCTGGCCTTGCTGCCTCTGCTCTTTCCCTTTCCCTTTGTCCTCTTGCCACCACAGTCACAGCTATGAGGCAGGCAGAGAGGTTCACGTGGTACCTTCTCCACGGTGAAGCCTTGCACCAGGGTGAGGTCCTTCCGCAGGTAGTTCCAGGAGATGACACTCTTCATGTTCACATGGAGTTGGTGCCAGACACCAATCACCTTCTGATACAGCTCCTCAACCCTGCCAGAGAAAAGAGCAGATCCATCAGCTATGGGATTTTATCTTCTGGAAGCCACTGCAAGAGTCACTCTGAGGGTTTGCAGTAATACAACCACCAGGGAGTAACATGGAGTAATACAACCATAGAGTAACAAGAGTAGAGGAGAAAATGGAGTGAGAGAGAGCAGCGAGTTACCTGTTAGCCGTCTCGATGGCCTCTTTGTTTGGAGCAGGGATGAGGAAGCACACAGAGGGCACCATGGCCTCGTTGCCCGTGGGGCTGATCACTTTCCACTTGGTCCTCTGCGAGTTGTCTTCCAGCACGCACTCGTCGTTCACGCAGATGGTGATCTGCAAGGCACCAACAACGCGGCCCCATCAGAAAGCAGCAGCAGCTCCACGTGCTCCCGCCTGGGCTGCCAGCTTCCCTGGGGCCAACCTGGCTTCCACACCAGCTTTCTGTCCAAAAACAACCCCCAAAAACCAACAACAAAACCAAGGGGTGCTGCCAAGCAGCACAGCACACTCATGTCTATGGAGAGGACGAGGAAGTTGAGGTTGGCTACCACCCAGGAGGTTACTTGGCTGAAGATGATGAACTCCATCCTCTTTGGGGAAAAGCCCCTTAGCTCCTACCCAGCATAAAGCTGAGACCCAGAAACTATTCCAGGAAAAACAGCCACGCAACTTCCCTACTCATCTCTTCCCCCTCCATTCCTGCTTTTTGTTGACAGCTACCACAGAACTCATCCAAAACGCTCCCAGGTGCCTTACTCGTCCAGTGCCTTTCAAAGTCACGCCAACACCTTGCCAGCCTCCTCACCTCAATCTGACTATAATTGCAAACCGCTTTGATGGGGATTGTGCTCTTCAGAACGTGGTCTGGGTTCCTCGGTTTGAGCTGCACGATGGTTTTGGACTGTCCCGTCAGGCTGGCGACAGAGCTCTTGGCCTGAATAAGCTGCTCCTTCTCATCCTGGCAGAAAGAAGAGCAAAACCCGGGTTGCTCGAGGGGAGAAGAGGCATCTTCGCCATCCCCCCCCGCCACGAGGTGAGTCTTCAGGAGCTATGTTGGGACCTCAACGGCTGAACAAACATGTTAGGAGGATCCCAATGGAAAGAAGGGGTCAGGAAGGAAGGCAAGAAGGGAGAASAGACTTTGAGCCAGGGCTAGGACCCTCCACCTATGGTTGCCATGGCCCTGCCAAGCTGCATGCACAACACCATCTCTTTTGCTGCTGGGACATGAAACGATTGTCTTGGAAAAGGAAAGGAGGAGAACACGGCATACACTGAAATTAAACAGTAGGTTTAAGTGGCAAAAAGCAGGATAAGTCCTGGCCAAAAGCCAGTGTTTTTTAGTTGCCTGGAGGAGAGGCCACAGAAGCATGCTCCTCTTCCTAAAGCAGAGGATGAAGGCGTGTTAAAACCCATGTTTGGAAGCGGGGGACGATGAGTCAAGCGGATAAAATATCCCAGGAGAAGCAGCTAGTGGTGGTGTGATGGCACAGGTCCCTGGGCTTGGCTAGCAATGAAACGCTGCATTATCAAGTCCCACAAGGGCCTGCCGGGTCCGGTGATGGGAGGACCCGGGGGATGGCTCTGCAAAGCTTCTTTGGAACAATCTCCAGCCTCGGGATGGGGACATGTGCGGATCACAGCACCGGCAGCTCACGGGACTAGTCACAGCTCAGCCCCTTTGCATTGCAGAAGCTTTACAAGGACCCCAGGAGAATGTTCTCCATCATGCTTGGAACCCTCAGATCACAAAGGGTTGGATAATGTGCTAAGAACGGAGGGGTATAAATTATTTACTTGTTATTTTCCTGACAATCTGTCATCTCCATAAGAGTTAAATCTACTTGCTATAGCTGTCAATTAAGGTTTTTTTTTGAACAGTCAAAAAAGAAAAGAATAAAGAAAAAATAAAGAAAAGAATAAAAGAATAAATGATTAAATAAACTACCTGTGCCTGTCCCACGGAGCATGATTGAAAGAAACACAACTTTAACTCATTAGGAAAGAGAGAGTGAGACAGCTTAGATCAGGGCAGCTGCCCCAGCCGTGGGCACTCTCCTACTGGCAAGCCTGCACCTTCCCCGTCCCAGCTCTCACGCGCCAGGTTTGTGGCGCCTCTCGTGAACACTGACTATTGGCACCCCGATTTCCACACATGCAGGCTGGAAATCCCTGGAGTCTATTAAGAACAGAGAGGAAGCAGCTCCTGACTTCATAGCCTTGGATTTAACCTCCGGGGGCTTTCACCAGAGGCTTGGTGGTCAAACCACAACACAAACCCTTTGCTACCCCTGGTTTCAAGCACTATCTGCAGCTTTGCTCTTGGTTTTTAGTTTTGTCAGGCCTATTCAGACCATGAGATTAGGGACGTGTGTCTGTGTGGCTGCATTCGAGGACTGGAGCTGCCTCGGTCCCGGCCACCGCGTGTTGGCAGCCCCAGATATCTCACCCTCCTGCCCAGACACGGTATGACAGAAGGACAGACTTGGTCTGGACAGACGTCCTCTCCAGCCCAGCGTGCTCTTAGCAAACACCAGGCAGAGGGCAGAAACAAAACACCCATGTCACCTGGGCACCCCTGGCACCTCAGGCAGCTACAGCCAGGAGCAATTCAACAGATACTGCTGGGGAAGAACCAGCCCGGGGGGTTCTGTTCAATTAAAAGAAGCCTCTAGCCCTAGCAGTCTTGCCCAGGCAGTATATGCTGCTTGCTCTTTACCAAGACAACAGAGAGAGGTTGTGGCAGGTGCCACTAAGCACAAACGCTGCAGACACTGATGATCCGCTGCGACTTCCCAAATCCAGCTATTTCAGGCAACGCACACGGCAGCACAACGGAGGCTGAGGCAGCAAGATGAACATGGCCTGTCATCCACGGAAGGCAAGAGGCCCCCTGAGCAACAGTGCTGGATCGGAGCAAGTATTCACCGTGCTGCCCGCAGGGAGATGGGCATTTTGGAAAACCCACCATGGAGTCCTGCAGCAGGTCCTCCAGTTGACTGAGGCTCATGTTGTGGTCACACGTATACTTCCGTTTGATGGAGTCCTGCAGGCTCCGCAGGTAGGCTTCCGACTCCCGGGCATCGCTGAAGAACTGCAAAGACCAAAAAGCGTCCCAGAAACCGGCAGCACTCAACCGAGCGAGCGGCAGACAGCGCTGCAAGAGGCAGTACCTGGAAATAGGCGGTGTTCTCCTTCACGTGCTGCTCCACACACAGGCACAGCTGCTTGATCCACTGCCACTGCGTCTGCACGGCAGCGCTGTAGGCCTGGAAACAGAGAGCGCGGGCATGAGCGAGGTGCCTCCGGCCGCGCATAGGGTCACGGGCAGGACGCAGCTGCCCGGGAGGATGCACATAAAAGGGCAGGAACTGGCCACAGCAAGCAGTGTTTGGACACAAGAAGTGAAGTGACACACAGCAGGCCCCGAATCCGCACATGCCAGAGGCTGCTGCAGGCACAGATTTGCACAGACGCCTGCCGCTAAATCAAACAGCGGGGAGAAAAGTGTCCTAACAGCTCTTCGTTACATCCCTGTTTTGTCTCTAACAGCATTGGAGGCTTCAATCGCTCCAAGTGACCAGAGCCTTTCCCTGCAGAAAAATGCTCCTGGCTCTGTGTATGCCAATCTGTGCTGCCCTTATCTTGGAGAGCATGTTATTTATATAACATCTCATTGCATTCTCCCCAAGACAGAATAAAACAGCTCTTGGCACTGCATTAACACTCTCCTTCCCCCATGAAACACTTCATCAGCTCTAAAAGCTCACAAGAGCACCGTGGTGTCGGGCAGGGTGGTGAGTTTCCAGGTTGCATTTTGAAGATCTGCTGCCACCCAATTCACGGGGCTCCACTCACCTCTACGGTTTGCTTGGCTGGGTGATTCTGCAGGGACAGCATCTCTGCTGTATCTTGCAGGGACCAGAAGACGCCCCGCTTCTCTTCCAGCTCCATTGTCATCTCCTGAGTAAGGGACACAAGCAAAGTCAAAAGCTGGGCTATCAAAAGGGGTCTGCATTCAACTCATGAAAGAGGTTTGGTAGCACGGAAGGGAACATCAAACGTCTGGGGTTTCCTGCAAGTTTGTCAGGAGATGAAGGTGTCCTGCAGCAGTTTGAAGGCTGCAGCAGCATGATGAGGAGTGCATCCATCCCACTACCCTGCCCACTGTGCAATGACCCATTGATTGCTCACCGAGAAATAGATCTTCTTAGCTGCAATGTTTGGGTTTTTGTCACTCCAGTCATATGCCAGTTCCTCTTCCTCCCTCTCATTCAACCAAATCAGTTCAGCAGTGGCTTGAGACACAAATCCATGCAAGCTCTGGAGATGTTTGAGGCGGAAGCTCGACGTTTCCTAAACAAAATTAGGCAATATGAGTCCTATTCCCTGGCTCTGATGATCACTAGTTTCTCCTCCCACCTCCCCAGGCACGGAGCAGGACCAGAACAGCAGGGATGGACCATGCACTCCCCTGGCAGTGGTACAAAGGGGTTACCAGCACAAAACCCACTCACCAAGAGCTTGCAGTACTGTGTCTTCAGCTTGCCTAGCGTCTCAGCGTAGCTAGTGCGGAAATTCCGAGATATTTTACCCTGCAGGATGAAAACATTCTGGTTACTCAACACAAAACAGCATCCTCCGGGACGCCAGCTCTAAATCCTTCTCCCCAGCTCTCCGTGAGCAAATAAGCAGAGAGGATGGCTCAGGGCAGCAGCCTCTTGCACCAAACCAGCATCGATTTGCAAGCTCTGTCCTTAAAAAAATGCCTGACCCTAAGTCCCCTTCGCCCGTAAGAGCTGCCACCTCCTGAGCTCTCATCTTCCCAGTGCCACCAAACCTTTCCACCTGGGCTGTGTCACGCAGTGACTTCATGTCACCTCATGTCATGTACCTCATACATCTGGGCCTCCTTCACGCTGGAGGCCAGCTCCTCCACGCTGCTGTGCACGTGTCGCTGGGTCTCCATATGCGACTCCACACTCGGCAGGTCGTTCCCCCATTCTGCACGGTCCAGTCTCACCTGGAACAGGCAGAAAGGTCCAAATCAGCACCCTCTGCCCACAGGGGCACATCTTCAAAGGACGTGAGGGCAGAGAAACCTCCTGGGGTGCTGCAGAGGGAACAAGAACCAAGCCAGCTGGGGCAGAGAGTCCTCAACAAGTTCAAAACACTGGATGATTTTAGAGGCAGCCTGGACAGGCCTCACACCCAGAAAAAAAAACAAGGACTTCATTGGATCAGTACAGCTTTGCATGTGGCTTTGAAAGCAGCTTCCAATATCCAGCAAATGGCAGGACCACAAGAAAAAAAAATCAACTCAATACAAAACATCAACGTTTTAGAGAAACTCCAACCCACCAGAATAACTGCCTTTCAGACACAGAGATAAGGGTTGAAATAAAATAAAATAAAATAAAATAAAATAAAATAAAATAAAATAAAATAAAAACACACAAATCATTTACAGTTTTACCCTTTGGTATGATCTGGGGAGGGAGTAAGCCAGGACTCACCTGCATTTCTTCCACCCAGGCCAGCAGCTCGTACACGAACCGGAGGCTGCCCTCATCCTCAGAGGAGGAGATGGCCACGAGCTCTGTCCTGGTCATGGGCTTACGGAACCAGGAGCCGGACGAGGTGTGCAGCCCTTTGCTCAGCGCCTCTCTCTTCACATGTATGATGCTCTGCATGGAGATGGGCATGTGCCCCAGGGCAGGGAAGTTGCCTTTCCTGTAGAGGTTAGTGCACTCGAGGCGCAGTGCCTGCAGCTCCTCTTGCAGACGGGTGATCCTGGAGGAGCAAACCAGGCACGTGTGAAAAGCTGCTGCGGAGCAGCCCGGATTGCTCCTCTCCAGCTGCTGGCTGTCTCATCATGGCCCTGCTCACCTGATCACGAGCTCCTCCAGTTGGTAGTAATTCTCATCCCGAAGGATCTGCACATCCACCTGGAGCTGGCGGATGAGCACCTCACACTCCTGCAGGTACATGACCACGTCGGATTCCTTCTGCACCGGCTGCCCAGACTGCAGATGAGCAGTGTCCTGCAACAAGACACAAGGGAATGAAAACTGGGTCTCCTTGGTGCCATCTATGTGAGCAAAGAGATTGAGATGGTTCCCCAACACTGCTTTTAAGGCCAGAAGGACCCTCAAACTTCACTAAGATCAATATGGGGGGAGGAAATATCACCCGGCCACTCACAGCTTGCAGCAAGTTCTTCGCAAAAGTGAGTTTTTCTTCACAGTTCAGAGCACCGTTATGGATTTTGTTAGCAATATGTAGCAGTAGTTCCAGCCTGCAGTGACAGAGGGAATGGGAATGAGGGAAAGGCTCTGAGCTACCCCAGCAGCCACGGGAGCCGGGGAGGTCCCAGCAGGGAGCTTTGCCCACTCCAAGCAGAGCACCAACCTTTCCACCTCCGGCCGCAGGAGCTTCTCACGCTCCAGCATCTCTATGATCAGCTTGCCCCACTCCTCCTCTACATCATTGGGGTGGTAGCCCTGGGGCAACTTGATGCGGCCAAATTCAATCCATACCTGGGACAAAAAAAAACAAAAGGCACCATTTAGAACCTTGTTCTCGAGTTGGCAAAGAAAGTGGGGCAATGAGGCAAKAGCACTGCCTCTGCAGCATGGTATGTGCAAGATCACTTCCCCTGAGGGCTATTTCCATTTCTACACTCCAAAACAAATCTAAACTGAATATGTTTAAGTCTTGCTAAAAGACTAACACTCCCAGCTACACGCCTCTGCGCAGCTGAGATGATACTTACCTCTAAGAGTTTGTAGACCTCCTCTATCTTTCCCTTCTCCTGCTCCTTCAATGGGATTTCAGTTTCCTTGAAGTGTATATACTCATTATAAAGAGCCTGGGATGAGAAAGACTGCATGAGACACTGGCCTGGGGATGATGCCACGTGGCTGTTGGAGCAGAGCATCGGGCACCCTCCGGAGGGCCCTTGCTTCAGGACCCACCTTGAGCTCCACAGGGTTCTTGGAGAAGGATTTATCCGACATCAGTATCGTGTGCTGTCTGATCCACGACATGAGAGACTCCACGTGGCTCTGATATTCCACCCACTTGGAATCCACTTCCTGCGGGCGAGAGAGACCTCGTAAAGCGCCGCCAACGGGGAGGACTCCACAGGGACAGGGACAGCCCAGCCCTAACACGTCCCCAGGCACAGCAAGAGGGGACCTGCTGCAGCGCAGTCACGGCTGTGCTCACCACGAAACACAGCGGCTGCAGCACGGACTGGCAGCCTGCTGCATCGCTCGGATGCTGTCTCGTGGGTTCAGGGTGGAAAAGCAAGGAGTTTTCTTGCAAGAAAGCTGCTCTACACAAGCCAGCCTGACTTTGGGAAGGAGCTGCCTGCAGCTTGCTGAGCGCTCGGAGCTCGGGGCACAATCTAACCAGCCCCGCTGGTTGTGGGGAGCACTGTGGGGGGTTTAAAAGGGCACACACGCTAACGGGGAAGCTCCTTCCTTGCCTCAAGCCCGTTCCCCTCAGCAGTCGCGTGCCACGGCTTACATGGAAACCTCCAAACCCTCTCCCTGAGAGATACAGGAGCAGATGCCACCCAAGCCCCAGTTCCAGGTGGTTGCGGTTCAGCCTCCCAGACAGGTCAGGTGCAAAAAAGCAGCCACACTTACAATAACACTGATGCCTTCTCCTCCCTCAGGGACCTTGGGAAAGGCATCGTAGATGGAAGACACGTAAGTTATCACAGACTTCTCATCTGGAGATGGCACATCCACATCTGGAAGAGGCCAAGAAAGGCACAGTAAGGGGAGGTCAAACCCCCGCAGCGGGAGCTGGGTTTGCCAGCTCCATCTGCAAAATCCCACCTTCTGCATCCAGCAGCCGAGTGACACCGAGCCGCTCCGCGATCTCAAACGCCTGCTCCAGGTTCTCTCGGTTGCTCTGTATTTGTACTCTGTCCATGTCCACCAGGTCTGGCCTGCAAGACACACGCCACAGTCCTGATCCTTGGAGGATGGGACAGGCCTCTTTTCAGTGGTGGCCAGTAACAGGACTAGAGGAAACGACCTCAAACTGAAGCACCAAAAGTTCCACAGGAACTTAAGGAAAAATTTCTTAACAGTGAGGGTGCCAGAGCCCTGGAACAGGCTGCCCAGAGAGGTTGTGAAGTTTCCTTCTTTGGAGATCTTTAAAACCCATTTGGGTGCAGCCCTGTGCCACATGCTCTAAGCGACCCTGCGTGTGCAGGGGGTTGGACTAGATGACCTGTGGAGGTCCCTTCCAACCTTAAGCAGTCCAGGATTTTATGATTCCGACATGGCAGCTGCCAAACAGCACGAGGTGGAGGAAGAGCAGGCAGGGACGGGCGCCGCTGGCCCCCCTGGCTGCCCCGCACCTCGCTCCGAGGCCCCGGTCCAGCCGTCCCAGGGGAGGCTTGGAGAGCGCCTTGGATGAAGCGTCAAGCGCAGGAAACAGCAGCACGTGAAGCACGGCGCCATTCCCATGCTCCGATTTTAATGCTTTTCCCTTTTGCTTCCCTAATTAAAGACCACTTGTCTTATGACCTGCTGCTTTTCCGAGCAACTACCCGGCAGGAGCAGCTCCCCACAATCTCCCCTGCGCCCGCGTGTCCAAGCACTCCAGACTAGCACCAGATCCGGCGGTGGGAAGGGATCCCGGGAAGTCTCCCAGCCCATCCTCCCGCCCAGGCGACGCTCTCCCCTGCTCACCTGTATCTGTGGATAATCGCATTGAACATTTTGCCGTCGCTCCAGCACGAGGAGAAGTTGGTGCACTTCACTTCAATGTACCCTGCTGCCACCTTCTGGGTCCACAGCAGGAGCTTCTCCTTGGCCGACATATCTCCCAGCTCTCCACTGATGTAGATGTCGGAGATCTGTGAGGGTGCAGCAGAGCCAGGGGGTGATTTGGGGGAAGGAAGGGAGCCTCCGGGAGCATCCCACCTCTATAAAAACGCGCTATGATGTGTGCCAGGAGGGAGGGAGAAGCCCCTGCGGTATCCAGGGCTCCTGGGTGCATCTGGGAGCTTCCCATTAGGCCTCTGAGACAGGGATCAGCGACCAAAGAGGGCACCTAGGGGCGACCTGTGAGTGCCAACAGGAACCTTCTCATGGCCACGTGCAGCAGGAGACCCAGCGGGCTGGGCTGGACCCCCGGGCCCACCGGAGGTGCTGATCAGGGGTCTCCCTTGGCCACTGCCATCAAGCAGAGCTTTTGGGGGGACGGGAAGGGTGGCAAGAGGTGGCCACGTCCCCCCTGGGCCTCGCTGCGCCCGGCGGCGCGGGCACCGAGGTGCTGGTGACCCACTTCCCAACAAAAACCACCAAGAGTGGCCGATTCCTGCAGCTGAACGCCCAGGACGGGCTGCGAATCCCGGGCTGGCATGTGACGAAACGCACGTGTCCCCGCACGCCGGGGTACTCCCGATCGCCACAGCCGTGTCCTCCGGCCTCCGCTCCCTGCCCGCTCCCCTGTTATTCCCATGAGCTCCCTGGCAGCTCCCTTGTTATTCCCATGAGCTCCCCTTCATGCCAGGGGGCACACAGGAGGGAGGGCCAGGGCGTGCGCAGGAGGCCGGTGCTCAGCACAGCTCCGCACCGCCGCCACCGCTCCTGCTGGCCTCCCGGCGCTTCATTCCTCGGGAGACACGGGCTCCAGGAGCCCTCGGTTGCATCCCGGCTTCATTCCTCGGGAGACACGAGCTCCAGGAGCCCTTGGCCGCATCCCAGCTTCATTCCTCGGGAGAGAGGGGCTCCAGGAGCCCTCGACCACATCCCGGTTTCATTCCTTGGGAGACATGGGCTCCAGGAGCCCTCGGCTGCATCCCGGCTTCATTCCTTGGGAGACACGGGCTCCAGGAGCACTCGGCCGCATCCCGGCTTCATTCCTTGGGAGACAAGGGCTCCAGGAGCGCTCGGCCGCATCCCGGCTGCCCCGCAGCGACGCAGCTGGGCCGGGTCCGTGTCCCTGCGTGCCGCTTGCCGGAGGAAGGCGGCCGCGGCACAATTGGCATGCGGCGGCTGGCCTGCCTGCCGTCGCCCGCCACGCTCCCGCACACAGAGCTGCTCTTTGTCAGCCGCCGCCGCCGTTAACCCCTGCGGGCCTGGGACGAGGGGCTGCCCGGGCGTGGGGCACGAGATGCCCCCGCGGAGATGGGAGGCAGCCCCATGAGCCGCGTCCCGCGCCTTCCATGGGCACCGGAGGCGGCGCCGGCTCCTCCCTGCCTTCTCCTTGGGCGCCCAGCTCAGGACAAAGATTCCGGGAGGCAGCGAAATCCCAGCAATCCCAGCAAGAAGAGGCAGCGCCAGCTCGCAGGGGCTGCTGCCATCCCCTCCGGTGGCTTTTGGACCAGCCTCTCGGACCCAGCACCGGTGCCTGGGAGCTGAGGCCAGGATGGGACTCCAGCACCAGGACACCGCTCTCCATGGTCCCAGGCTCCTCCCCGGCTCTCCAGCTGCTCCCACGCTTGTCCCTGGGCTACACTCCTGGCCATGATTGAGGAGAGCAACCGAGGGAGCTCCAAACAGCTCAGCCAGCCCAACAGCAGCCTCCTCTGTCCTTCCTCCTCCTCCTCCTGGCCACCAGCATCGTCCCCTCTTTAGAAGCAGCAGCCAACCTGCGTTCTTTCCAAGGAAGCCCTTGCTACCTGGATCACAGATCCAGACCACCTGGATCACGAGATGCAACTTGCAGCCAGTCCTGCAACCTGCAGCGAGACAGAGGGGCGGGTGCTGCTCCCACCCGGCTCCGTGCTCGGCACGACCCAGCAGCACCGGCTCTGCTCGGTGCCGATGGCAGGACACCACGCGCAGGGGCCACTTCTTGTCCCCGGTAAGCCCGCCTGCCCCCTTGGCAGGCCTGGGGGACAGGGAGCACGTGCAGGGGGAGGTGACACCCCGGACACGTGTCGCACCGCAGCGGGGCGGCGCCGAAAGCACCCGCAGCAGCAGCCGTGGCCAGCGCACGGACACAGCAAACGCGGAGCTGCATCCGGAGTGGCAGCTGCAGGACATCCCGACCACTAGTGAAAGGAGTACAAGGGCCACGGGGATGCAACCGGGATGCTCAGCTCACCCCACAGGGCAAGGATGCTCCACAGTCCCACGGGAAACGTGCGGAGCCACATCCACCGCCCCGCGTCCCGCGCCCCGGAGGCGCCCGGCCCAAGCGTGCTCACTGACCCTTGGCTCCTCCGGCTCTTCCGCGAGGGCTGCCACGGCGTTGCTGGCCACGGCGCACGCTGGCTCGCTGGCGAAGGCCGAGGAGCGGCGCGCGGGGCCGGGGGACAACCTGCTGCCGCTCCCTACCCCCGCGACGCCTCCCGCTCCGGTGCCGGGCCGATCCCGGGAGGACGGCAGCGCCACGAGGCTGCGGCTCTCCAGCAGCCCCACCAAGGGCCACGATGGAGCCATCTCGGACAGGGCGCCCAGCTTGGCGCGGGCGAAGCCGCTCCGTGGGGCGCTCCTGCTCCTCTGACGGCTCCCCGTGCTCCGGGAGCAGTGCCGCACGCTCGCAGGCTCACGCGCAGCCCCGGGGCTGCCCGGGGCGGACTTGGGCAGCGGCAGCAGCACAGCCCGTCTGCTGCGGGCCGCCCACCGCAGCGGAGCCCCGCGGTGCTTCTCGGCCGGGTTGTCCAGCAGGCGTGCAACGACCGTCAGGCCTTCCTCGAGGGAGCCTCCCGCCGCCTCGGCCGGTGGCTCCCACACCAGGACGACCTTACGGATCTCCTCCTGCAAATGCTCCTTCACTCGCACTAAGCGGCCCAGCGGCGCGTCCTCCTCCTCAAACCCGGCCGCTTCGGTGGTTCCCGACACTCCTGCAGGGACATCCTCCGCACTCTTCCCGCCGCCGAGGGGTTGCTGCTCGTGCGGCGCCGGCTCCGGTGCCGTTCTCCTGCTTCGGCGCCACACGCGCCTGAGGCGGCCCCGGCTGCGGGCGTCCAGCGGGGCATTGCCGCCCGCCGGCTCCCGCGGCGCTCTGATACAGCTCAGGGTATTACCCATGGCCGCCACGCTGCAGCACTGTTGGATTCTGTCTCCCGGGGAGACCCCAACCTCCTCCTAACGGTTGGAGTCGCCCCGTTGCGCCGCGCGCGGAGCCTCCCCGCCGCTGCAGCCAGCCATCTTCCGGGCGCCGCGCCGCCGGCAGCCCCGTTCAAAGCATCTCGCCGCAGCTCGGGAAGCGCTTGACCTAAAAGCAGCCGGCGCCCGGATTGGCTGCGGCGCCCGCTCCCCGAATATGAGGTAATTGGAGCACGGCCCCGGCGCGCGCGCGGGGAGCGGACGGAGGCGCCGGCACAAGGGAGGCAGAGCGCCGAGGAGAGGGTGGAGGCGGGAGGAAAAGCGGGGAGGGGGGGAGAGGAAAAGGGAAAAGAAAAGGGGAAGGATGGCAAAGGTAGCATAAAGGAAGGGGTGGGAGAGAGAGGGAAGAAGCAGGGAGGAGTCGGCGCAGCAGGAGCCCAGGGAAACCCTGCAGCATCCGTGGCACCTGCCTCGGCACCGAGCCCTCCCGGCGGCGCCGACGGTGGCTGCTCTGGCACCCAGGGATTTCATCCCTGCTCCCGGTGCTGCCGAGGCTCCGGCGGCGCTTCCCGCAGCCGGAGGCGATGTCAGCAGCCAGCCCAGAGCAGCACGGCAGCGGCACGCGCTCCATCAGGAGCAAGGAAGAGGATGGCGAGGATGGGGAGGGGGCAGGCAGCGCTGGAGAGGACAAGACCGTCACCTCCAGGACCCCTCTTGGGACAAGGGAGCCCCCCGAGTATCCCCCAAACCGGCCCCGTGCTCCAGGTGCCAGGGAGCTCCTGGCACAGGCTCCCAGGGTCCGCCCGACTCTGCCGCAGCGGCAGGAGGGAGATTAAGGGCTCCACAATGGAGCTACATCCCAGGAACAATCCGCTCCTGGCAGGCGTGGCAAGGAGCTGTTGCAGCCCTGCACGTCCCTGGTCCTGGCAGTGCCACCTCCCAGATTCCCAGCCCAGCCTGAGGGGACCGTCGGGAAGCATCCGTGGTTCCCTGCGCTCTCCTCCGCTTTGCTCTGAGCCCAGGGGAGCAGCCCCACGGCCACCCTGAGGGCAGCAGGGACAGCACAGCTCGGCCCTCGCCGCCATCCCCATGACTCATCAGCATCCGGCTGCTTCCCGGGACCACTGCGCCAGCGGAGCCTCGGCAGCGGCACCGCACCCGGCTCCGGTCAGTGCAGCCAGCTGAGAAGTGTAAATGCCCCAAACTGCACGTTCCCAAAATATCCAGGTCAAGAAGTCCAGCAACAACGCGACAGCTCTGGCGTGGGCAGCACGCTTGGCTCCGGCACTCGGGAACGTCTCTTTGAGCTACACTCGGCCACCGCCACCCCGGTGCCAGCACCGAGAGCCCCAGGAGCAGGGCAACGCAGCGAATGCTCCCCGAGAAGCGACACCGAGCCCCACGGATCACACTCGGCTGCTGGACCAGCCCAGCACATGGCAACACGGACACCAAATCCGTCCCGTACCAAACCACCATGCAATACCCCCAATGCCGCAGTGCCGGCGTGCCACATCCTCCTGGCCTGGCCATTCCCGGTCCCTGGAGCGCAAGGGTTCGCCCCCCATTTCCTTATCCACCCGCCACGGGGTTCATCCGCCTCGGTTGAGTCTCCTCCAACCTCTGCTCCCCCTCAGCAAGGCCGTTCAGAGCGTCCTTCCCAACAACATCCCGGTCACTGGAGGCCACGACAGACCCGAGACGCTCTTTAGCAAGAGCACCTATAGCACCCAAAAGCTGGCCATGGCCCCAAAGAGCACCTATAGCACCCAAAAGCTGGCCATGGTCCCAAAGAGCACCTATAGCACCCAAAAGCTGGCCATGGTCCCAAGTTCCTTCCCCAGCAGCCCAGCTGGCGCAAGTCGCTTCCCCCAGCCTTGTCCCGAGCTGCTTCCAGGCAGCCGATCCTTTTCCACCCTAATGCAGGACCCTCTGGGACGAACATCCCTGCCCTGTGCCAGCTCAGCCTGTCCCTGCGCGTCCTCCTCCAAATCCAGCCCCGGAGCTGAGCCGAGCGAAGCGCCCCTGCCAGCAGCCGCGGTGCCAGGCAGGAGGCCAGGGTGCACAGTCCATCACTAATGATCCCCTTATGTAAACCATGAGAGAAGGGAGCTGGTATGCGCTGACGCCGGCCCTCGAGCCCCGGCCCCGAGCGCTAATCCCCGCGGGCGGGCACAGCACAGGCCATGGGACACGTGTCCCGCGGCGGGGACAGGGGCCAGCGCCGCGGGGAGGCTCCCTCCGCCCGCCCCGCGTGTCCCTCCGTGCGAGACGCTCGCGCCCTTACCTGGAAGTGCAGGATAATGGTCCAGATGAGCCCCAGGGTGAGCTTGGGGTTGCCGTCCGTAATGTCATCGTTGCGAATGTTCACCAGCTTCACCTGGGCCAGGGGGAACGGCAGCGGTCAAGGCTTTCCCGGCCCGCAAAGAGCACGGCAGGCCCTGTCCCCAAGCAGCCTGTCCCCAAGGAGCCTGTCCCCAGGCCCTCCCGCAGGCTCCGCAGCTATGGGATCCGCTTTTCCGCTCCCGCCTGGGCACCGGGAAGGGCTTTCGCAGCACCTCCCGGTTCCAGCTCACACGGCCGGTGCCTCGTATCCCAAGTCCCCGGCGCTGCTGCAGAATTTAATTTAACAGCTGCCGACCACAGGGGCCGCTTCAAAGAGGCCGGGCGAGTTTGATGAACTCCGGCCCGGGATCAAAACCAAGCTGCTCATCAAGGTAAAGTCCGGGAAGCGCGGGGCAGGACCCCGCCAGGCTCGAGCAGGCTCCGGGGGGACGTCGCTGCCGCCAGGCCCCGGCGCTTCAAAGGGAAAAGGGCTTTAATGGAAGCAGGGAAACAGGCTCGCAAGGGCCGCGGGCAAAACGTCTCTGTGGCGGGGCTGGAGAGGGGGCTGGGAGCCGTCCCCCGTCCCGAGCCTTGGCTTGTGCGCAAATTTATTCAGTGCCCTCAGGCAGGCAGGGAAGGAGAAGCTCTGCTTCGGCATGAAGCGACGCCATCCGTCATCGCCTGCACGTAGCTGGGGAGCATCCTGACCGCAGGACCTGACCCAACACGTCCGGCAGGATGCCCGGCCCTGCGGAGCTGCAGGGGCTTCACCTGCGTGCGGAGCAAGTCCCGGGACACACCGGTGCTACGGGGCTGCCCAAGGAGCATCCCCTGGGGAAACTCCGTGCACGGAGGGGTGCACAGGGCTGGGAAAAGCAGAAGGGAGCCCCTGCCGGAGGCAGCTCCGGGGAGCGGCGGCAGCTCTGGGGGCTCTGGGTTACAGCCTGGCGCATGGCCCTGCTCCGTAACCGCTCCGACATCCCGGCTGCGGGAGCTCCGGCGTGCTGGGCAGCCCCCCGTCCTGCAGCACCCTTCCCACAAGGGGATCCCAACCTCCCGACCTGATCCTGGTTTTTACAGCGTGTGGACAGTTTGGAGCCGCTGACGCTGCTGTTTCCCGCCCTTGCCAAGGCGCAGGCAGAGCAGCGACACGTCACCTCGGGCTCCTCCTGGAAGAGTTTCATGCAAGAGGACACCGCCCAGCCCTTACCTGCCGCTGCTTCAGGAAATCCAGGGCGATCTGCACGTTCTGGAGCCTGTGGAAGCGCATGCGGCCCTTCTCGCGTGGCTGCAAAACAAGGGGTGGCGGCTGAGGCGGCTGCTCGCCGGGCGGGCGCAGGTCTGGGCTGGCAGCACTCGCATGCAGGGTGCCCGGCACCGCGCTCCCCACGCCCCGCGCGCACACCCTGAGCTTGGTCCGGCAGCAGCAACTCGCCCTGTTGCACAAAAGCCCTCCGAAAATGGACCAAAAAAGGCCCTCGGCAGGGCCTAGGGGTGGGAAGCCCCCGAGATATGGAGCTGCTCTGATCCCCTTCGGGAGATGCTGGAGCCGGAGCCAGGGCTGCTCCGTGCCGGGCTCGCGGCATGGGCACCGCAGAGAAGGGCTCTGAGCCCGCAGCCCCTCTTGGGCTTGTTGGGGGGCGGCCAGGAAGAGCCCCTGCATAGGGACATCGCTGCATGCAGCCCCTCTCCTCCTGCCACCCCAGCCGAAGGCTCTCAGCTCCGAAGGCGGCAGCGCCCGGGCTGCAGCGCCGGCCCGGAGCCGCCTCGTCCGCCCGTCCCGGCTGTGCTTGCGGCTCGTGCCCGGCGCGTCTCCATGCAGTGCCGGCGTGGGGGACATGCTCGCACACGGGTGCCTCGCGTGCCCCGCGCCGCGCTCACGGACGCTCCGCAGTAGCGGGATGGCAGCACCGGGTGCCCGCTGGGAGCCGGGCAGGAGCCCAGGTGACGCCGGAGCATCCGAGGGCGCCCGCGGGGCCGCGCTGCCTCCGGGGTGACTCAACCTACTACGTCACCATCCTCTTCCTCCTCGTGCTCCTCGCTGCTCGCGCGGAGCCAGGACGGCGCTCTCACCAGGCGAAGGCTCCTCGCGCCCGATGGCTCTTTTTGCTAAGGAGCAGGGCACGGACAACACCGACGGGGACGCGACACACAGGGAGACAGAATGGAAACTAAAATGCGACGCCGGGTCATGGAAAATGCAGCAGAAACGGGGTGCCCTGGCCAAGGATGGGATGAAGGGCAGCTGGCGCTCCTGGATACCACGAGTGCCTGCCGGGATGGGCTGGATTCAAGGGGAAAGGAGCTGGATGGCAGGCACCAACCTCCAGTTGGTGGGGAAAATGGGAGCTAATGGTACCTGCTTGCTCCAACCCAGTGTTTCCCAGCACCTAGGGCAATTTCCAGGCTCCCAAGGCTGTCTCACCTCCTCTTCTGCAAAGGAGGCTTAAACAGGAGACTTTTCCCAAAGCTTTGAAAGCCAAAGAGAGGAGAAGGAGGCTGCCTGGATCGCAGGCATCTCAATCCAGCTTTGGAACACCCACCAGCTCTGATTCGGCATCTTGGGAGGGTAACGGAGTGAGTGAGCGGATCTGTGCCCAGATCCTATTTTAGGGGAAAACTCTAGTAATTCCTGCAGTGTCGCACCAATAAGGAACCTCCCAGCACTAACAAATGTGACAGTCTGGAAAGGAGGAGGAGGAGGAGAAGGGAAGGGGATGCTACTACGTTCAAGATGCAAGCGGAGATGTTTGTGCACCAGACACCGACTGGTGCTTCGATCCCACCGGGTTTTTAAATTATTTTAAATATGTAAAAAACTGGGAAAGGAAATGCTTGAAAGGCCTCCCAGAATGAGGGGCCTACCCAGGGCAGCAGAAAATGACAGTTTTAGACAACTGCACATTTTCGTGGTATCCAAGAAGCCAGCATGAGGGACATACATCTGAGTGAAAAATAAATGAAATAATTCTATAAAACAAGATGAACAGCAACAAAAAAGAGGGGAAAAAAAAACTATGGCATGAAAAACAACTGCTGATTGCTGCAATGCAACCAGGGTGGAGAGGGAAGACGGAGGAGGAGGAAACAGGCGGCGAGGACGGCAGCAGCCCCAGGAAAACGCCCAGACTCACCAGTTTCACCCCGGACAGGACCTCCAGCAGCGAGATCAAGTTGTGGCCGTCCCGCAGGTCTTCGTACAGGTCGTTGATGTGCTTGCGCACCTGGGGGGACGGCGAGGACAGGGGCTGAGCGCGCCTTGCAAACCGTAATTCCCAAAGCCGGCTGCCGGCTCCGCAGACGAGCCGGCGGAAGCCGCTGCCGGTTCGGGAGCCCTGTTAAAGCACTCGCGTCCGGCAGCCCCGCGGCGCAGGGCTCAGCCGAAGGGGTAGCGCAGGCCTGAAGCTCCACAGCAGTTTAAGGACCTCGCTTGAATACTATTTCCCCCCTAAAAAACACCATTTGGCATTTAGCTTCCGCTTAAGAGCGGAGGGTATTTCCATGGGGCTGCACAAGCAGGGAGCTCCTTTTGCAGCATGCCTGGGGAGCTCTCCTAGGAGCATGGAGCCTCCACGCTGGCTCTTCCCCAGATAAATCCGGGCTTTTCTGCAGCTAGAGCCAGCCCTGATGCTCCCCCAGCTGCCTGGCCCTGTCTGCCCCCCTTCCCTTCCTAAGATTCTTTCCAAGATCTGCAAGGGGAACGCAGAGTGGGGCAGAATCCTGCATTTTGAAGGATGCAAATGCATCCTTCAATGCCCAAACTAAGTGCCCACCTTCAATGCCCAAATTAAGTTTTTTTGTTGGTGTTTTTTTTCCAGAATGGAGAATTATTTTGCAAATGGGGGATTAAAGCACCTGCTGCTTGAGCAGGACATGCAGGAGGGCCCTGGCCGCATTAATCCCCTCGGCTGCCGCTGACCAGCAGCCCCACGTTAGCGTTCACGGGTGAAGAGGGGTCTCTTACCTTCATCAAGTGCTTATTGACCCATTTAGTGAAGGTTTTCTTCTGGACTCGGTCCCGTTCATCTGTTAAGAGAGCACAAGGACAAGCCTCAGGAAAAGGGCAAGACAATCCAAATGGATGTGCACAAAAGCGGAGCAGCTCCTTGCAAGGGGCTTGGCTGTGTTTGCCGGGAGGGCAAAACACCCCGAAGCCAAAAACGTGTCTCCAAAGGCCCCTGCAGCCACTAGCCGGACACGCAGCCCACAGCTGACACCTCCGCCGTATTTTTGGTTTATTGGATTTTAAGGATTTACTGCTTATTTCGGTCCCTTGGCTCCGCCAAGGACGCCCGGGTCGGGCACAAGCAGCTGCTGCCACGGAGGGTCCAGCCCCAGGGCTGCCGGTTTGGGAGAATCCACCCAGGAAACAGCGGGCGTTTCCCAGTCCATGGAAGCGGCGAGCAGGGATAGGGCTCAGCACATGCCCGGGAATGCGGCCTGGCGGCCGGGGCTGCGAATGAAGCCTGCCCGGTGCCGACTGGGATCATCCGGATCGAGCGGCGGCGCCTCCGAGCGGAGACAGCTCTACAGGGGAGAGAGCTCCCACTTCAGCCTTGGCGTAGTGTTTTATCCCACTGTTTTCAGCACCGGCCGCTGCGCATTTCTGAGTCCTTCCCAAACTCCCGAGCACTGCTCCAGATGCATGGGGATAGCTGGGACAACACGGGAGCCAAGAGGAGGGCAGCACTCAGGCCGATCACCTGGGATCCGCAGGGACCCCCGGCGCGTGGAGCCCAGCATGCGGAGCAGGAATTTACAGCAGCAGCCTCGCCTTTGTTCCGATGCCAAAAAAATCAGGAAGAAGGCAGCAAAGCAGCCCCCCTGCTCCTCAAATCCCTGCCGGCAATGGCACGAGCTCCCCAGCTGCACCTCGCATCCCAGCCGGCTGCTCCAGCTTCCCGGGAAGCGCCGTCAGTGGGATACCTGTGCCGGTAGCACAGCCACAGGCGCTCGGGAAGGGCCCAGGCCCGGAGCGACCTGCAGCAGCCCCGGAGCTTCGATCCCCATCCCAGTGGTGTCCCCGCACGCACGGGGCCCAAACCGGGCACCGCGGCGTGGCCGGGCCCCCTCCGAGCCCCAGCAGGGCCTCTTCCCGCGCGCGGCGGCCGCCGGTGCCGCCACGGGGCGCCGGGGAAGCCACGAGCTGCGCGCTCTGCCGCGCCACGCGCTCACCCATGCAGCACATGCGGCGCGCCAGGCGCTCCGTGAGCCACCGCCGCTGCTCCCGGCGGAGCTCCGAGGCTGCCGCCATGCGCCGAGCCGGGGTCCTGCTCCCGCCGAGCTGGGGGTCCCGCCGAGCCGGGGGTCCCGCTCCGGCTCTGCGCAGCTCCTCCCACGGCGCCTACCACTTCCTACGCCGGCGGCTTGGGCGCGCGGGCATCGCCGCGGAGCCGCTCGCTTCGCGCTCTCCCGAGCGCCCGCCCGGCGCTTCCGGATCCTCCCAAGCCGCGCTGGCTGCCGCCACTCAGCCCAGGCTGGCAGCTCCGTGCCCGGGAACGCCAGAGCGGCCCATGGTCCCGGCACGCCGCCCGGCACAGCGCCTGGCTATTCCTCTCCGGAGCGTGGCAGTGGGAAGGAGCCGGCCGTAGGGATGCAGGTCAAGGCGAAGCCGAGTGAGCGGAATGCAGGCTCCCTATCTGCCGGCTTCCCGCGGAGCAGGCCGGCCCGCTGGAGCATCCCGCGAGCCGCAGCGCCGGGCACTGCCCGCGTCCGCCCCTTGGCTCTTCTTCCCTCTCCTTGTTTTCCAGCTCCCGGCTAACCGCGGGGCCCTGCGGGCGGACAATGCAGGGCTGTTCTCCCCGCGCTGCCCGCGGCTTCTTCACAAAGGAGCTGCCGGAGCCGGGCGCTCCGGCCGCGATCCTGCCCGCGGAGCGCGCGGCCGCTCCGAGATAACGGCCGCTCCTTATCGCCCTTCCTCTTCTAAATATAACCCCTTGGCGCGGCCGGGACGAGCCCTGGGCCCTGCCGGCCCTCAGGATATTCCAGCACTTCGGCAACGCGCGCGGCCAGCCTCGCGATCCCTGCGAGCTCCTCCAGCGCTGCCTCTTCTCCTTTAGTCGGGGCCCCTTTGGGGCCTTTTTTGCCCCATTTCGGCACCCACACGGGGCTCCGCGGCCCCGGCCGCCCCGCTCCGCGCCGCCCTCCCGGCTAATAATAACGCGCGGCTCCTCCGGAATGACGATGTTACGGCTCCGGCTTATCCCCCTCCGGCTAATCTTCCCCGGCTCCTCTCCGTCCTCTCTCCGTCCTCATGGAGGTTGCCTGGCCACTCTTCCCACCGCCCGCCGATCTGCCATTCCCACATCCCAAGCGGGGATCCCGCACTTTGCTCCGGACTTTTCCTTGAGCGCATAAAGACAGGGGACACCGGGCAGGCTTGCATGGTTAAGCAACACGCAGCACGGGAACAAACATGGAAAAACGCCTGGGATCCTGCCGCTGGAAACCGATCCCGCCCGCGGCTCCGGAGCAGCGACCGGGGCCACGCGGGCCTAAGTGGGGCTATTTTTACAAGCTGCAAGACGAGCCGCGGGTGCCGCAAGCCGAGTTTTGCCATTAGGAATTGCTAACAGCGGAAACTCCCTCCTTCCCAACGCTCGCATGGCTGTTTTTTTTCCCAAGAGCCAGGACAGGCTTCTCTGGCATGTCGGAGAAGAACAGCCAGCCGGGATAACGAGAGGGAGGAGATGGTGGCTCTCGCTGGGACGGTGAAAACAGGGAGAAGCTGCAACAACCTGGGAAAATGGCTCAGGATGGAGCCACAGGAGCCAAGGAGACCCACTGGAGCAGGAGAGGAGGGAAGGGAAAGGAATGCCAGGAGAGCAGGGAAGGAATGCCAGGAAGCAGCTGGAAAGGCGGCAGGGCTCGGACGGAGCAGACGCTCCTTCGCCCTTGTTGGAGCGGCGGCGGGCCCCTGGAACAAATCCTCGCGGGACAGTCATGGATAAGCCCTATTTTGGGAAAGGGAGGCAGGGCCGCCGGAGGGTCCGGGAGCCCTCCCTCGCGGGGCTGATGGGGGATCGCGCAGGGATGAGCAGGCGCATCCCGGCAGAGCGCGACAGCAGCAGGAAACCCCGCTGGGACCTGTGCCGGCCGGCCCAGGAAGCCACGTTGGGCCCGGCTGCCCGCCTGCCTCCTCCTCCTCCTCCTCCTCCTGCGGCGGCTGCCGGGAGGGGACAGGGGGAGGTCCGGGACCCATCACCCTCCTCCTTCCCGGCGCTCCAAAGGCGCCCGGCCGCGGCTCCCGCCAGCCCCGGCGCCCGGCCCTACCTGCTCCGCTCCGGCTCCGCCAGTACAGGACGCCGGCGATGCCCAGGACGTGGCTGAGCACGAAAGCGGCGGGCGGCAGATAGGAGCCTTCCGAGAGGGGCATGGCCCCGCTCCGGCGCCCGCTCCCGCCGCGCGGCGCCTCCGGAGCATCCGGCAGGGCCGGGCAGCGCCGAGGCCCGGGACACTTTGCAAACTTCCTGCGCGCGAACGGCTGCCGCGCACGGGCCCCCCCGCGCCTGCCCGGAGCCGGGAAGGCTCCGGCGCTGGCCGAGGGGGAGGGAAGGAGGGCGGGAGGGAAGAAGGGAGGGCGTCAGGCCGGCTCCGGCATCTCGCACGCGGTCAGACCCCCCCGCTCCGAGGGGAGACGTCATCTCCTCGCTTGCCATTCCCGGCCCCGCAGGAATCCGGCCGGCGGGAGCGGGGAGGGCCGTGGTGGGAATGGCCTCGCGGAAAGGCTGAGGTCCTGGGGGCTAAGGGGAATCCTGGCGCAGGGCTCCGAAGGCTCCCGCTGCCCTGGGAATGTGTCGGGAAAGGGCCCTGTGGCATGTCCAGCTGTATCCCAAGGTCACTGAGCCAAGTGCCGGGAGTTCTGTGGGACCATCGCACAGATCCCAAGAGGCAACAAGGTGAGCTCCAGCGCCAGGAAACCTGCGCCAAGCCACGGGGAAGGGCAGCGACGTCGAACGTGACACTCTGCGAGATGGGGATCCCAAATCCCTTCCTGGCAGTTTCCATCCAACGTTAGCATCCCTATGGAGGCCTGAGGCACCTCTTAGTACAGCGGCCTAGAAACGCAGCGGGACAGCGACATTTTCCACTTCAGGGGGATTCCTGCTGGTGGGAATCCACACATAAGGGGCCCTGCATGTGCCCCAGGAAAAATATCCGGAAAAGCCGCCCTAAGGAGATGGGAAGACCCCGAGCTGAGCAGACAGCAAAGAAATGGCTGGGTGGAATGGGAGCTGATGATGGTTTTCCAGCTGGCCACAGCTGGCACCTGAGCAAGGCCTTGGCCATGCAAAGGTGTGCAACGTTGTACAACACCATGCAACACTGTGCAACGCCATGCAGGGCTGTGCAACACCCCGCAGTGCTGTGCAATGCCTTGCAATGTTGTGCAACAGTGTGAGGTCGTGCAACACTGTGCAATGCCATACAGCGCTGTGCAAGGCCACGTAGCGCTGTGCAAGGCCATGCAACGTTGTGCAATACCGTAATGCTGTGCAACGTCATGTAACGTCATGCAACGCCATGCAATGCAGTGCAATGCCATGCAGTGCTGTGCAACGTGGTGCAATGCCACGTAGTGCTTGCAATGCCGTGCAATGCAGTGCAATGCCATGCAACGCCGTGCAGTGTTGTGCAATGCCACATAGTGCTTGCAACGCCATGCAATGCTGTGCATGTTGTGCAACGCCATGCAATGCTGCACAATGCTGTGCATGTTGTGCAATGCCATGCAATGCTGCACAATGCTGTGCATGTTGTGCAATGCCGTGCAACGCCGTGCAATGCCACTTAATGCCGTGCAACACCGTGTAACATCATGCAATGCCACATAACGCTGCACAACACCACCCGACGCCACGCAAGGCGGGACGCAGCCGGTGGGATCCGGCGAGACGCCGCATCCAGCTCAGGTGCTTTGGGAGCCCTGCGCCTCCCTGGGGCCAGGGAAACGGCATCGGAAGCACCGCGAGCTGGGAAAGCCCCGTTCCCGAGCGGCACCGCGAGCTTCGCCCGGAAACCTGCAG